AGAAACTGCAAAAAGAAAAACAAAGCTTTGAAAAAACAGCAAGTAGGCAAACAAAGCTTTTAGGAAACTTGTAATTTTTTTTAATTCTAATTTAGTCCTCAACATCAAGCAGGCAAAGCAAGCCTTCACAAAACTTGTCATTGTAATTTATTTTCGTTCTTGTCCAATAGTTATACCAGTTTTGTGTATTAGTATTATTTCTTATGATGCTATTTGTTTAGTGTTTGTGATAAAACCCCTGTGATAAGCCGAAGCAGGCTTTTGAACCAATATGTATCACATTAATTTCTAATAAAGTAATTGTTTTAAATACTTGTGGCTTGTTTTGCAGTGCCTGCATGGTAGGACTCATGAAGTTGCATTTCCACAAATGGCAGTGATATGAGCTGAGAGAAAACAGCTATCTTTATTGTTAAATTTGAAGATTCCTGCAATTTATTGCCACCCACCTGCCCACTCAAAGCAGGCATAAAGCAACAGAACATGCTCATTCACACCAGCTCTTGCCAATAGTATAGACATGTGACAAAAAAGATATACAACCTATTGTAAATGATAAGTATAACCAAACTAATAGAAAGTTATGCTGCCGATTAAAAAAAAACTTTTACTTTTTTTTTTGTTGTGTGCAAATTCCAATGTAACAAAACAATGCTGTCCTGAAAGCTTCTGTTGTGTTTCATGATAAATTTTAGAGCAGCATTCAGTTCAGCATCGTTAAGACCATCATCGTTCATTTTGCCATGTTTCATTACAGGAAATTGTAAGATATCAGTTCTGCATTTCGACGTTTACACTTGCAGACAATTGATGTTACCGCTTCTTTTAGGTGGAATCGAAATTCCCATCTCAACTTTTATATTTTCACACAGTTGATGTTACTACCCTTGTTTTAGAGTAATTCAAGTTGAACCTCGCAGGCGGCAAGAAGTCTCCTAGCGATCACAATGCCTCCCTTTGTTCAACAAACTGATACTTGACTAGGGCTGCTATACTCCAGACAAAGTGAGAGTCAGCACTGACTATCTTTCGGAGAGTCGCCCACACACTCCCATGACCCTTTTGCGATAGGAGTCGGGGGACTCTTCATAAAAGGAGGGTCCTCACAACTCTTGTTACAGAGTCACGGGGATTACCAGGAAGGAGTCGTGTGACTCTTTTTCTCCGTTGGATAAGAGTCGTTAAAGAGTCGCAGTTGACTACGTCACCTGGAGTCGCCCATACACTACCATGACTCTAGTGTGATGAGAGTCGCAGGACTCTTCTTTAAATAAGAGTCAAGTGACTCTACAAACTGGAGTCGTGGAGGAGTCAAATCTGTAGCGCGCAAAGGAGTCATGGCGACTCTCTTTAAAAAAAGAGTCGAGCGACTCTACAAACTGGAGTCGATTCTGCGGCGCGCCAATACCCCCCAAAGAGAGTCATAGCGACTCTTTTTTTTAAGAGTGTACAGTATTGACAGAAATTTCTATTACAGGTTAGACAAACATAGAATATCTGTGAAAATGTAATAATCTTATAGATATTAATTTATGCATTTTCGCGTTTTTTAGCCCGATATAAAAATTACACTAAAAAAGAGAGTTGTTCGACCTACCTACAATGAAGCTTGGAATAGTGACGTAGTTGCTTCTGTCACGTCGTCACTTGTGTGGTCGACGCACCCACCAAGGTTGCACTGCCGAGATGGGGACGACATGATTGAAACACCGACGCCACTCCTAGTCTTCTAAGCGTTATTTTGAGTGGGGCTTGAAACGCTCTTTTAGAAGCCGAGAAGAGTGGTTGTTTGGGCGAGTTGGTTTGACATCTTATACAATCTTGTGCGCAACAAAGACGAGGACAAAAGCAGAGAAGAGGACACAACAAGGCGAAACTTTCAACTGAATTTTATTGAAAACGTGTTCCGGTATATATATAGTCTCAACCATCGTTTTGTAACGATGGTTGAGACTATATATATACCGGAACACGTTTTCAATAAAAATCAGTTGAAAGTTGCGCCTTGTTGTGTCCTCTTCTCTGCTTTTGTCCTCGTCTTTGTTGCGCACAAGATTGTATAAGGTTTAGAAGCCGATTTTTGAATCGAGAGAAAATACGCGAAAATTAATCGATTAATATTTAGAATAAAAAAACATCATGACCTTTTTACAAGGCACTTTAATTGGTCTCGACTCCATTTTAAATATGACCCCAAAAACCAATATTTCAAAAGTCACGTAACTCTTTTATTTAATTACTAAACTTACCGTGACGATTATTGCCTCAGCTAATGTCCGCCAGCCCGATAAATATAATGAGAAGACAAATCTTATGTAACCCTAACCTCATAATTTTTTATCTGTTTGAATTAAAAAAAAATTTTCAGTGGGCCCTGGTTGCTCAGGTCCAGTGGACACACAAGAGCCCCGAATGACGACCACCAGAACCTTTTCATAGCGCCGGACGGGGCGTTGTTTTGACAATAAAGTTTTGACAAGCACACACAACTAAAATGAGACACCCTGTTTATGAGCAGCACTGTCACAAGGATTTTAAGAATGGTGGTACAAGAATATTATTTGTCTCTTGATCAAGTACACCGACTAGGGTGGTTAAAAATGCATTCTTTATAACATGTTTTATTCGTACAATACACACAAGAAGCAAGCAGTGACACAGCATATTTTGAGCTCTCGACTGAATAATCTACAGCAAAACCGTATAAAATGTTCTAGGCGAAGAACTGTGATCCTCTGGAGATAGATCAACATCACTGAGTTTCAGTTACGTTATTATATAGAAATAGTTCTGGCCTTATTTATTTTTTTTATTTTTTATTTTTGCATTGTTTCTATTTCTGCCTACTCCGGCTCAGCGTCCACACGTTCGTGCGCCTTCGTTCGACAAATACAACTCCGAGGAAGAGGGAAGCAACTACCAGTTGTATTCCGCCATGAAGCCTATACAGACCGTCGTAACTTTCACGGGAGTCTCGGAAGAACCCTGCAATGAATAAAGTGTAACACTTTTTAATCCTTTGTAAAACGTGAAAGTTGTGCAGAATGCCTTTGCACAGTATTTATTATAAGTTCTTATGCGTATATGTTGGTCAGATTTCACTCATGAAAAGCCGTTTCGAGCGTCTTTTTTTCTCGGCCTCCACCATTGTAAATGGGAAATAAGGATGGTATTGTTATTGTTGTTATTTTGTTTTCAAATACACCCATATATGCTGATTCAGCCATATAATGTGTTCTCGGCTATAGTTCGCGTTTATTAGTTTAACGTTTTTTTCTGTGACGAACATTATAGTTAAAAGGCCGAGAATAATGCCACAATCTGCGTAATTTAAAAAAAAAGAGGAACGTTTTTCTGCTATGACAATTACAGTCAGTAGAGATACATAAGGTGAGACGTAAAAATGCGTGGAAAAAAAGGTGAAGTTAGAATCACTATGTTTTTTTCAAACTACCGCCATTCAAACCATTATGCCGTTGCACGTATAGTGTCCTAACGTGAGCACAAGATTTGCTTTTTGCAGTAAACGTATCATTTATTCTAATAAGGTTGTTAGTCTTGCTTTACTGTAAAGTGCACACAGTGTTATAACTAGACCTGTTTCAAAAGTAGACTCACTCAAGTACTTGCTACAAGTCTGCAATATTTGGGTATCCACCTTAAGGATATGCATTAGAGACGAGTTCCTCAGCGTTCGGCGTAAAAGCTGGTTCTTAACTCTTCGACGCGACTCCAGCGTCAGCACTCAACTAAAGCTTTGATCCAATCATAAGCTTCGCGCGGAAAGTGCAATATTCAAAATTATGGCGGCCGCTTGCGCTCTTTGATGAACCTTTGAAAAGAAACTTTTATATAACAGAATAAAACAACATTGGACAAATGTCTATACGACTGGATGGCAAACAAAAGTTTTCAGAATAATCTCGACGATGTATTTCTGCATAATTCCATCACAATTTTAACAATCAAGAATTTTGCGTGCTTTCTTTGCGTGGACAAAAAATGTTCATAAACTTCGAAACAAGAAAAAAAAGTCGCACGGTGCAAATTGGGTTGCCATTTTTTGTGGCCATTGCGTGAAGTGGGACAATCAAGAAATACATCTTGAAACACCAGAAAGAGAGTGACGGCGCATTCGTTGAAATATTTGTAAAATATTGCGTTCATCAATTAATTGCAGTGTGTTTACTTTGTACTAAGATAAAGATATCAGACCTTTTCACATAGTTACGCGCTTTTATATTAAATGAAATCTTGCACTTTTCTTGGTGCGCCTAATAAAATGAGTCGAAGCAGGTAATAATGGGACAAACGTAAGGGCCGCTAAAATATAACAGAGGCGGTGAATCGCCCCAAAATAAAACACACACTCAAAATAAGGTCCTTCCTTAAAAATTTAGATTTACCTGTTATGAATGGGCTGCAGAGAGTAAGAGGCAGTGAGACCAACCCCGAGAGCCCGTAACATGTTGAGATCCATTGGACACCGATGTAATCCGCCATGAGGACGCTCCTCATTGAGATCACGCACCCGTAGGAGAGGTATGCGCACAAACACACAAGAATAATGTGCACGTGAAGAGATGAATGCGGGAAAAACACCATTGAACATCCCCATGTAAAAAGGTTCGCCATGACCAGGGTTGTGCGTCGAACGCATCTTGTGTCGGCAATCAAGGGAAGGAAGACCCGGCCTACGAGTTCACTGCAAGATCCGTAAATTATGAGGGACTCTGCATCTTCTCTCGACAAGCCTTTATCCACAGCATAGTCGACTATAGTAGACACATACGCAGCTCCTGTAAAGTCTGCCACCACTGCCAGTGTAAGGACAATGTAGAGCACAGGATTGACAAATAACAATAGGACGGGCCATGTTTCTTGACTTGTTCTCGCGGAACAGTCGTTGAAAGGTCATTACGTTCTTGGATGTTAACTGATATGTTTTGAATTTCGAATGAACGCTCCTTAGTTGAATTTTTCGCATCCTTCTCGATGCTCTACAAGCACGTCCAGGGTGGCTCCGTGGCGAAAATACCGATTGCCGAGACATGCATAACGATGCCTCCGCAGATGAGAAGAGTGCCACGGAAGCTGTATTTGTCTTGTAAGTAAGCGAGAAGCTTGGGAAAAACCAGACCTGCGCATGATGCTCCAGCGTACTTCATTCCCGATGTTAAGCCTCTGTACTTGTCAAAATACAGTGCAAGGAGTATACTATACGTCATTGTCGTAATTCCAAGACCGACACCTAAAACAAAATACAACAAAGATTATTATGAACTACAAGAATCGAATAGTTTACAACTTAATAAGTGTCTTTGTGAAACAGTACGTTTAGCCTGGAGTTTGCCGAGTTGTATAGTGAATGTGAAGAGTTGTATAGTGAATGTAAAGAGGGGGCTGTGAGCAGTGCTGAGAGAGGCATTGGCGCGAGCCCGTGGTTATCACAAATTCCGCCTTTTTGCGCGGGCCTGCGTTTGAGTAAAAGATGATCGGCGGGCAGTGTGAATTGTGAACCAGATACGGCTGAAGCCGTGATCTTCGGCCTGCTGAAACGTACCGATTAACCATAAATTTGTTGCTGTTCATATGATTTGCTTTATGTTTTCGATCTTTAGATATGTTTGGTATCTGCCCACTCATATGTGAGCCAATACAACAACATCGATCAAACTCTGGCTCACGGTAATTAATATTGAATCTTTCTATTTTTTCTATGTCCTGATCATTTCTTATTGTTTAGTCTGTCTAGAAGAACGTTTTACAATCACACGACATCTATACATTGTTCGCAATGTTACTTATGACTGTAGAAACTAAATTATGTCGATGAAAATGTCATATAGTTATTTATATACAGGGTGAATTTATTTTAAGGGAGACAAATGTTTAAAAACGGTTGCAAACTGCTAGCAGAATGCTGTCTTCGCTAGGGTTTTTTTTAGTTTGGCAAACATTGTAGGAGCGAATAATCGCCACAGTCTGTTGTATAATGAACTCAGATTCGGTAATTATATTTTAATTGGTGAAAATAAGCATATAGTTCCAATTAGAAACATGCTAAGCATCATAAAAAGAAACCCAATTCAGTAAACTTTGGAACAGCTTGAAGCACGCGTGAAAGGGGGGGGGGGTGGGGGGCGTGTACCACATTTATCACTCGTGCAGCTGGTGCAAAACTATCGGTGGAGAAACATGGCTGATAGCTGTGCGCATGATGCACGAGTGGTAACTTTGATGCACCCCCGAGTTTCCCACGTGCTTCAAGCTGTTATAAAATTGATTGATCTAATGATGCTATAAAGTTTTCAATGAAAAAAATTTGCATTTATTATTTCAAATTTGAATACATTTTGATTAGTTTAATGCACCCGACTTACCGCGAGTATAAGCAACCTGTATATGCCTGTATATGTACTTCTGACAGTATATCTCACCTGCACACACCGCATTATAGTATCATTTACGAAATGTTTGTGACATATTTGTCTCAATTAAAATCAATTAGAAGAGTTGTCTGCTTCCTCGTGTGGTAAAACTAGGGAATTAGTGAAAGTTCTAGGGACGAGTCAAGAGCTACTTGCACAAATTTCAACTGTCCAAAAAAATGTTACAAAATTACCAAGATCTTACAAATCACCTTGTTAGCTTCAGCTAGCTTGTTTCTTTCTTTTTTTTTTTTTTTCTTTTGCTTGTTTTTTTTTTTAGCGGGATGTGTAATGGATCGTCAATACGTGACCTTTCGCGAGCGCGCGAAAATTAATGGCGGGCTCGGCTTGTTTATCTGGCCTCGGCAAAACTGTAATGTTCACGTCACGAACACTTGACGCTTCGCGAGCGCGAGGACTGAACCTTGCCCAAAGCGCCTGGCTGGGAACAAGAAACCGCTCGCACATGCGTGGGGGGAAACCTCTGAACAGAACGACCGGATGAAAGCCACGTAACGCACGCAAAAGAGACCTCTCCATGTAATCAGACGTTAATCGAGTATAAACAACGCTATTTCATATTCATTCTTTCAGAAACCACCCGGCCACCGCTGACAACCTCTTCTAAGTGAGCACACTTTCAGCTCTGTGTTCTTTTATAGTGCACATTAAAAAACGATTTGTCGTAACAATTAATTATTTTCCGACGATACAATATTGAGTAACCGTTAACTTAGCGCTATGAAGGAACATGGGTGAAAAGCGTGAATATATTTAAGAGCTATAATTTTCATAAGAAGGAAGATTAACACAGTCAACGAGATTAAGGCAGCGAGTAGGTTCAGAAACGTCGGGTTTTGGTTTTATTTGAATTATTTGTATTAGGGTTAGATATATGTTCACATTGGGGAATGGCCAGGCACGTAGTCAGGGGGGGGGGGGCATGGGACCCGCCCCCCCCCCCCCGAAATCTTCCATTTTGCTCTGACCTCCTCTCCCCCCTCCCCCTCAAACAGCATTTTGTCATGGGCGCCCCCCCCCCCCGAAACAAAATCCTGGCTACGTGCCTGGGAGTGGCAATATATTGTACAATTTTTGCAGTAGTATTACTTTCGCCGTAAAATAAAAATTAAAAAAATCAAATTCCCTTAATAGTTGCATTAGATGTTGAGCTGCCGCCAAGTCAATTTTCTTGAAATTTCTTTACAAAGAAGTTTCTTGAAAAAAACTTTGCAATCCGATTAACAGGTATGACTATACGACGAAGTTTTTCTTTGTACATGATTGAGGAACCTAAGGCTGTAGGTGTTAAAGCTGACCTAAATGGCGTTTTAGATTTAAATCCTAACACGTGAAGAAATGTACTTCTGCAAGTTTATTTTGTAGGTATTTTCTTGGATAAATATGTAGTGACAAGTTTTAACAACTAATACAAACATGTAACGCATAAACAAAATTATTGGTGTTATTAATTTGAAGTCTCACATTAGAACCTCTTTTGGAGGTAACTTATTATACGGTGCAATACAAGAGTTACCTGCATTTGTAAAAGAAACCGTGCAGGCTTCAAAATGCGTACCATATTGGAAAGCCCTGAATCATTTCGCCTGGATGAATACATTCAGGCGCCAGGTACCATGCACCAACGAGGCGAAACGCTTAGAAACGCTTTATGAAGATGGAAGTATTCTTACCATAAATAGCGCCGAGGGTTATTGTCATCCATGTCATGTTCGGCACGAATGCAGATGCCACAACTCCCGTCCACGCAAAGAGTCCTCCCAGGGAAAAAAATTGCGAACAGGGACATCTTCCGTTGTAGCGGTGCCATCAAACAACCTAAAAACAAGTCGCCCTAGCTAGGCTAGCATTCAGTAAAAGTGGTAGATGTGAGCCGTCAGTGGATGCTAAAATTGTATAAGGCACACGTACCTGCTCAGCTGTAAAGCTGAAGGACTTACACAACTTGATCGTACATCGTACTTAGGGTTGTTTTCGCTAAATACCGTTTACGCCCAACAATTAACCCCGGGGTACGTTTATATCGCATTCGGGGAAAACTGATGAACAACGAATTAGATCTGCATTTTAATAAAAAGAACGATTGCGGATAAAAGATCCTTAGCTACAGCTTTATTTTGTCGTCTTTTTTAGCTACAGCTTTATTTTTGTTTGGGCTTTCTCGAAACAAAGTCCCCGCTCAACTCTCCGTGAGGATGCTTGTTTTTGTTACACCACACCCCTTATTTCACGTGCACGTTCCGTGGAAGTTGAGGATTTCTATTCCCATGTCTTGTTTCCTTCAACATAAATAGGGTCCTTCGTTTTCGGGTAAAACTCGATATTTCCCGATATTTACATCACGGACATATTTCCTAAAAATCGGGATAAAGCTGATTTTCCCCAAATTTGGAAATTGAATTTCATCATTCTCCCCATTACTCTGCTCCGAAAATATTTTCTAGGAAACAAAGAGTTCGTAGGTACACATCCGCTAACGCCAGACATCAAACGCTATCCTGGATTATTTTGAATTCGCCAGGATCGTGAGACATTATACTACTTCCGATTCGATTAAGGCACGCTGCAGCTATTTCCATGGGAGTCACACAACACAGAGGGTGTAATGAAACAGTTTATCAACTCACAATCCGCCGCCCCAAGACCCGTTCTCGACCGGTGGACTTCAGTCAAGGGCAAGGACTTCAATCAAGACGCTCTACTAAGAAAGACTACTATAAGACAAGACTGCCTCTACTCAAGGCCTGCGATGAAGCCTCTCAATAAAGACCCCATGGAGAATGTGCCTCAAAGACTCACAACTGCGTACCCTAACTGAAGACCGTCAAGTAATGTCTGGCGAGGGAAGACTTTCAAATAAAGACTTAAAGCATGACACTCAAATGGCGACTATCAAATCAAGAGTGTCCAGACCCTTGCCTGCTATATCCATTATATAGCCAGCCCGACACCTTTGCCTCCCGCCCCCTCTCGCTCCCACCCAGAATCTCGTTCCCATATAAGGCCAGGGGCCAGCTCCATGGCGCATGTCTGGCGAGAAAACTGGCTCGCTAAGTTGTAACGCGAACCTCAGCGGATGTTCGCGGGTAGGCAAGCGTGGCATGCCATCCTCGGCGCTGTTTACGTGGCGATGTCCAAAGGATCTAGACTGACGGAAATGTCGGCTTAGTAACCAGAGACGATGGAGAATATAACGAGGGTTCACACGGGCGGGAAGTGTGGGCTTCGCAACCGGGCACGTGGAGGGAAAGCCAAGGTTCTCCACAAATCGAGCCCTCAAATGCTGCCTTTATGCCCATCGGGAAGTTTCTTTTGCCCTTCTGCTTTTTCCGTGTGTCTAGAGCAAAAATGAAGAATAAAACGGAAGGATGAGAAAACACGTGTTTCAAATGCTGTAAGGGTCAGAGAACGTACTCTCAATTCCGATACTGTCCGAAAACTGGGCACTATGATGGAGAAAGAGATATTGCCGCGTGCAGAGTATCATTTCAGAAACAAGAAATTGTGAATAAATTAAAAGCCCATGTGAGCTCTTACCATGTTTCAATGCTATCTTGTGTACAGTATTCTAATAACATTTATATCTGTATTCAAACTGATCAATTGCTAATTATATTAGCATATTTATGAATATTACATGAAAGACCCAAGTTTTGTAATAATTAATTAGACCCCATTTCTTCCCGATTATCATCTAGGATCAAAGCACCCGATTTTTATGCACCTGATTCTTATATAAAAAAAATATATATAAAACCTGAAAACGAAGGACCTTAGATGTATACCCAATAAACTCTGATATTTTTTTTTTCTTCAAAGTTGAAAAATTGTTTTCTTCGACACGAACCACAATAAACGCCGATTAACTTTGTTCTACTCTAAAAATGGACACTAAAAACACCGAATTGAGGGAGGAAGGGGGTGAAGAAGAAGAAGAAACACAAGAAGAAGAGAAGTACGCATTCGAAGAAAAATAGATCCCAGAAACAAGGAACACTAATCATACACCTATTTCAGCGTGTATTTCTGAAAACGATATTGTGAATCGCAGGTGGCATAAATTGGCAAACCGAACCTTCGAAATATTCATTTATTCTAAGGGAAGTAAATATTAGAAACATAAAAGAAAACGTGAATATATTTATTTGTTTGCAGCAAATATTTCCGTACGTTGAAAATGAATGTTTAGGACATAGGACTATTTTAAAACCCAATTCCGGATTGAAGTATTTTAATTTTTATTTATAAAAGCAAAAAAAATTAAAAAATAAACGCGTCACAAGCTAGATATTTACACGACTTAAAATACTAGCGAATACCTGTAGAACTGAAAGTTGTTCATTCATTCGCGCAAACACTTCTCTTACGTACTATATCAGCAATTTGCAAAGCTAGTCAGGTGATTCTGTACCAGACAAAAGAAACAACGACGATGTGACGCTTCTGGGCCATGTAGCAGATTCCCGGTTGACGTCAAATTCCTCCATGAGACCCACGTAGAAGAAACCGGAGTTGGATATTATCACCGAGACAAGGAAGGCTTCTAGGAATCCCAGTGCGGCGACGTGCCAGCAGGAGTCTACTTCCTTTTTAGTACTCTCCACTTTCCCAGGCATACTCGGACCCAGAGAAGTGGTCATTGTCGTGCCTGCGTAAAAAAAGAAGAAAAGAAACCCTATAAATTTAAGTTCTTCACTTTCAATTGCATTGTCCGATGACATTCTCTGTTTCATATTTTGGTCAGAGAAACAAAGTGAAGAGCCAGTGTCCTAGCAGTGTTTGGAGATTTGTGTTTGTCCTCTGTCACCTTGGTTCCCCTTTACAGGGATTATTTTCGCCATTTTCGTTCAGCGCGCTTGCACCTTTGCCTTAATTCCATTTTCATCATAACCTTAAAATGAAAGCCGTTCGCCCTTGTTGGTGTTAGACTCGTGGCAGCTGATAAAACCCGTTTGCTCTACTGACGTCAAATTCCTGGTTAGCTCAGTTTTTAGAGCGCTCCACTGGAAATGGGAAGGTCCCTGGTTTGATACCAGGACCAGGTGGATTTTTTTTGGTCGCACACGAGACACCTGGCTGCATTTGGAGATTTGTGTTTTTCCTTTGACCCCATTGTTGCCCTTTTCCAGGGATTATTTTCGTCATATTCGTCGTTATGATTGGGTCGGTTCACTATTCGAGAGGAAAAGAACACAACAAAATATTATATACAGTAGCTTAGCTAAACAACAATATGGAGCTCCACTCAAATTTCCTCACATAATTAATAATATTATTATTATGAATAACATGCATTGACAACGACGTCAGAAGAGCTGTGGGGTAGGGGCAGATATTTTTTTCCCAAGGGGGCACTTTGTCCCTCTTCACTATTATCTACAAAAAGATAACAGACCGAAGGCGCAAGAGTGGGCTGATCAAAGGGCTTATCCGAACAAAGGAAAACCATAATCGATTTACAGGTGGATTACATAAAAGTATCTGATACGCATCAACTAATCAAGTATTGATGGAATCGCCTCTCCCCCGTACCTCTCTTACCTCAGGAAAAATACGCACTTTAGCTCACTCACTCCGTCGCCCCTTCACTTCCCCAACACGTTCATACCCTTGCCCTTAGCAATTTAAGGCTTACAAATCCTTGCAGTAAACCAATTTGAAGAACTGCCCTTCCACCGAATCGGGTGCATGTATGTATTTTTAAGGTGTTTTACAGAAAATACAAAAAAGAAGGGAACTTTGATTATGCCCACAGAAAGTTAACATTTTTTTTTTTGGAACGGTAGAACAAAATAAGGAAGAAATAAAAAAAAGTTGTTGTTAGTAAACCGGATTCAAATTGTCCGGAAATTTATTTTCCGACAAAAAAGAAATGTATTCAAATTATTTCGTGAAAAAAAAATTAAAGGAAACTTGTACCAGTCAATAGAAAATGTAGGGGCGTGCGTGTGTGTGATGAATCCTAAGCTACAAGGCTTCAGATATGTTGGCAAGACGTCAAAAATGGCATGTTTGACTTTTTTTATTATTTTGGGCATGAAGTTTGTCAAAGCAGGTTAGTTTGAAAGAAAACAATAGTCAATGCGACATAAATTTAACAACAAAAATTACTGATTTTTTTTCACCTGTTTATAACAAGCGACAGAAATGGGTACAAAAATCAAGCCGCCTAAACGTAGCATTTCATCTTGGGTCACTTAAAATATGTTGTAAAGAAAAACCTATTAAAAAAAAAAAAGAAAAAAAAAGTGGTTTTCTGAATTGCGGAAATGGGACAAAAATATATTACCTTTTGCTACAAATCAAAATAAACTTTCAGATACGCGTGTTCGCATTCAAACAACCACCCTACTATCAAGCTAATAATAAGGGGGACGGAAAGCTGTCTCAGGATAGAAAACTGAAATAAGATTGCCTTTTCATACGATGCCAACAAGGAATGCCCAATCCGGGGCATCTCTTGCTGGGCGCATCAATGCACTTCAGCTCGAAGCGCATAGAGTTTCGATCTCGATGAGTATTGTATCTGCCTGCTGTCGTGTATTACTACTGCGTGGTGCACGTTAAAGACCCCTGGCTAGCGGCTTGTACTGCACTGGCTAAATTTCTCATCTACAGCTGCGACACCAGACGCCCACTGAGGCAGACGTCAGGCTGCCTAAGCATACACGCACGCAACACAATTATGAATGCCGAATCCACGTACTGGGGAGAGGTTTGCACAAAACAAAGTTTCTGCATCGCTATAGGATAATGGGAAGAACTTTTGGGGATAATTTACAGCTCCCTCCATGAGTTGGTGCCACCGCCCCGCAGTGCATATATTGTACAGACCAAATGTAAAACCGGTTTTTCTTTCCCGGGACACCGAATTCAATTCACCTTTTCCGCGGCCGTTCGGCGTGCCCGGAACACAATCAACATAACAAACTGACCGCGTCCTACACCGAGCGCGTGCCAAAATTATCACGTACCGAAACCGCCGATATCGAAGTATACGTGTGCTCCCAACCTGGGCTCAAGTTCAGCGGATGTACCGGGGCACTAACGCTAACGCATTAAAACAAGAAACTACCTAGAAAATGCTAACGACAGGAGTTACGAAAAGGTGTCGTTGATGTAGATGATGTTCGGCCACTTGCAACAATCAAGGGGCCTGATGGTGAACACGTTGCGACGTGAAGTTCAGTCAGGTGGTATTAGGCTTTAACTTAGATTGACTTAACATAGTACATTCACAGGGGTGGGCGCGACCAGACGTCGCCACCCAGCACTTTCCGTCCTCCAAAACCCCAACAAGGGACCCAACCGCAACCCAGCTTGATCCGTCCCTAAAAGCTCCTTCCCATCCTTGGCCCCTGGCAACCTCCGTTTTAAAGTCGGAGTCAGGTTCCCTCTCCCAATCGATCGAACCAATCGCCCAGATTCCCACGCTATTTTCCTGCTGGTAGACGGTCGGTCATAAAGGAACACGAGCAGAACAACAACACGCAAACGGATAACCTAAATAAACAGAAAAGACGGACATCAAAAGGAAGCGCCGTGAAGATTAGTGCTCCCACGAACCCGGCCAGCTCAGGCAATGAAAGCACAGCCAACATGTTCGGCACGGCTCGCTACTCCAGAAACCACACCCGGCAGCCACCTATGGGAACAAGTGCGTCCCGCTGTCCCGGCTCCCCGATTAATAATAATAATAATAATATTTATTTTGCACCAGAAACACATGATGCAGGAGGCCTGCAGAAAAAGCTGTCAAATAGACGGCTTGACAAAACCGAAGGCCCCCATACTGGCAGCGTCGGAGCGAAGATAAGATAATAAACTATAGAAATAAAAGTGGAAACATAGTGAGCCGAATCTTTTCCCCCCAAAAAAATAAAAATACAGAAAAGGTAATGAACTATACATATTATAAATACAAATAAAAATGGACACACAATGATGAATCTGTTTACACACAAAACATAATAAACTGTACATCATAGAAATAAAATTATCATATAGTGACAAGTCGTTTGATTCACACACAGACAAAAAAAAAGATAAACAAAAAATGAAACAATAGAAGTTCCTGGAAACAAATTGTACCCCCCCCCCCCCCCCCCCCGCCCTCTATTTTTTTTTTTTTTTTCAGTGTAAGAGTTTAAAGCATTCCCATAGACGCCCGCTCGTGGCGCCCCTATCCCCCATTCCTGGTCAGGCCGCCGTCTTCCCTTGCCGCCCGAGGTGATCCTTCCGACGACACAGCTGCGCTTTGACCCAAACCGACCAAAAAAAAAGAATAAATAATATCCGTGTACCTAACTACAGGCTACAGGTAACTCGGAAAGGTGGCTACCGCTTCAGAGCAACAACAGCCACGGGTAAAGAGAAAGAAACGCGTTATCCTTGAGTTACACTAAAGCGTTATTCTTTTTTTCTCTAAACCTTAATGCGTTTACTGTTTCGCAAAACACAAACGCGATCTGGCGACTGCAATCTACGTAGTGCATTCATCGGAAGCTGAAGGCGAAAAAACAGTTTCTCTTGAAGACGTAACCGGCGCATGGACAATGGGCATTGCGCTTCTCTTTCGCGCCAATACAAGTATTTAACGACATCCCCCGGACATAGAATGCCGGATGTTTCTTAACAACATTTCACGAGTTTAGCTGTCGCTTAATCGGGTCATTGTCATCGTTTTAGTTGTCGTTTACTCAAATGTATGTTTCTATTTGCTCATAAGCCAATAGATTCGAACTCGCATGGTTTTGATTGGGTTCTGTAGAAAAACTACGAGTATTAACTGATACCTTGATTGAAAAAGAAGCAGTTTTTCCGACTGTTGCATTTCTTGGAGCCCGGAAGTTTTTTGTTAGGCTAACACAGAGCAGCGACGCGCAACTGCCGTTATCTGTTCAATACAGAAAAACATTAGAGTTCCGGTGTAGATGTTTAGAGGGTCAACGAACGGCTAACACTCTACAGGGTCGCTCCAGCCGGTGACGCTGAATGCTGGAGATTCCTGTGCTTGTCCAAATCAAGCCAAAAGTCGTAGACCGTCCTTCGTGAGTGTCCTACGCACATTCCTATCGGTACTTTCTCAATGCTACTAGACTACCGCATCGAAAAAAGCCATCAGTATCGATCTTTAATACGTACGGTTGGGAGAAGAATGGAACTTCTAGTGGGGCATGGGAACAGTGCCGATATGTAGATCGTTCAAACGGTACGTTTGTTTTACCCAGGTTAGTACAGGTACCACTGTGGATACAGCTGGCGATACGATGACATCGGCAAGCGTTGTGGCGTCGTGTGTTTCCCACCTGACAGAGGACCATGTATGGGCGGGTTCGCAAACCGTAAAAATAATCAGTGTCCGTGAGAAATCAAACGTTTGATTCATCTTGGAGATTATGTGCCGCTGACAATGGAACGGACATCGATCGCGTGTTATAGACAGTTGCGTCCACGAATACAACTTCATAAAAAAAAAAGAAGAAAAAATCTGATGGAATGCTTGCTGCTGTTTAATACACTGCAGTGATGTTGTCTTTGTACGTACGGTGCTTTAATATTCTTAGCGAACAGTTTTTTTTTTTTTTTTGTCAGGGAACCTTGAAGTAAGTCCAATACCCGCTTCGAAGAGCTTAGTATA